TTTTTTTTTTTTTTTTTTTTTTCAAACCACCTCTACCTCCGAGCCTTTGCGGGGGCGGAGTGACGGAGTCCAACGGCACGCCGCCGGGGGACCGAAGCGTCAGTGCCTCGTTTTTGTTTTCGTTTGGCTGGTGCTGCGGCACCAGCCTTTGTGGTCCGCTAGCAGCACCCAGCCTCTGCCGGTCTCTGAAGAAGGCGCTGTATAGGGTAACTTATACAACTTAGCCTCCCAGCCTGGAAGCTAGTGGCGGTTTAACAGGATGGGGTAGCCCCTATTATTATTATTAATATTTATTATTATAATTTTATTAATCTGCCTTCCATTATCCGTTTACGAACAGGTACGTACGTATGTGTAGCATTCAGCCGGACGAGCGCGGTCAGGTATATTTTACGTTGTTGTCGACGGACTGTCGCAATGAATAGTATGTGTTCCCAAAGCCTGAGGGGAGAAGATCTCTTCTTAAACCCATCATCAGTACTCCCAAGGCCTGGCGGCGCGGCACGGCATCGCACTGTGCACCAGGCTTTGTTGAAGTGCCGGCAGTGCAATTCTTTTCTTTTTTGGCTGGCGCCGCCGGCCATTGTGGTCCCGGTAGCTGCCCTGAGCCTCCACAATTGTTGTTGTTGTTGTTAATGTTGTTGTTGTCGTTGTTTTTGGTTGAAAACCGGTCCCTCCACTAGAAACCTTGCAAGAGAGTGGATGATAAGAGGTCCAATTTTTCAACAAAAAAAAAAAAAAAAAAAAAAAAGAGGTCCAAAATTGTAGGAATGAGCCATAGGAAGAAACCTTGCTTGCAAGAGTGGGGCATTGTGTACTGGCAGTTAAACAAACAGAGAAAAGTGCAACAGGTTTTGCAGGTGCTCGTCTCTCGAGGTACTGACAGCGGACTGCGAAAAGCGACGAACCGCATCCGAAGGACCGTTAATTTGGTATTTGTAATTTCAGAGTGTGTTGATTGGAAAAAAAAAAAAAAAATCATTCGTCATGCGCTTGAGAATCAAAACAATGCTCCTTCGGCCGTTGGTGCTTCGTTGTTGAATTAATGCTGACGCCACAACCCATGTGGCTGAACGGTATACACAACTGTTTGTGAACAGATCAGGAGTTCGAGTCCTGATGAGATCAGATGCATACAAAAATAATGTTAGGGGATGTTCCCCTCCCCCCCCACTTCCCCCCCTCTCCCTCTTTAAAAAAAAGAAAAAAAAGAGAAAAAAAGAAAAAGAAAGAACTAATTGGAAATGGCCCAAATGGGAACTAATCGTTAGATTCGTTACTGCTGTGCTGCTATTGCTGGAATTCCGAATTTGACAATTTTCACTGCTGCTGCTCTGCCCCCTTTCGTGCGCCATTTATTTCTATGTTACCCTCTTTTTGTCGGGAAATAGGGGTTCAAAGGGGCCCTCAAGGCTTGAAATTTATCGAGGGTCTGTGTAGGGGGTGTGCAGAGGGGGTCTGTGGAGGGGGTCTCAATTTGACTGAGAAGGGAATCTGCAATATCCAGAGCCAAGATATATGGATGGCATTCACGGGCCCTGTAAAGCGCAAAGTGTGCCGCAAGGACTGGTCACTGGAAGTGATATGTGTGAACATTGAGATTTTGCACTTTGAAAGTACAAAAAATATTAAATTGCTAAAAAATAGTAAATTGCTAAAAAACAGTAAATTGCTAAAAAATAGTAAATTACTAAATTAGCCAAAAAAAAAAAAAAAAAGTAAATGAACTTTAAATGAAGTCTAATAATTCAATTAACTAAATTACCTTTTTTTGTGTCTGTTAATTACTAATTACTAAATTAATTACCTTTCTGTGTCTGGATTGGATGAAATGTTTCTAGTTTTTATTTTTTTTCTCCTTTTTTTTTGTTTACCCTGTGCTAATTACATTACAGTCTTGGTGTGCGTCTCATCTGTGCGTGTCTGGACTACGATGACATGAGGGACCATGGCCATGGTGGGGTTGGTCACGACCGTCAACACCAACACCCCAAACATTGTGTGTCTGGATTACTTTCGAAGTTCTACTTCGCTTTTTTTTTGGTGGGGGGGGGAGTCGGGGGACCATTTCTCGATTAATGTGCTACATCCTTGCACGGGGGCGATGGTAATCTTCTGTGTACCGTTCCAATTGTAAGCCACCCATTCACATGAACCGAATTGACGAACCAAAATTTGCACTTTCCCTCCCAAGCCTGAGTGCTACAGTGACAGGCTGAAAAGAAAAATGTCGGGGTACCGGTACCAGCCTACCTTGAAACTCGAGTGTTGTACCTCGTGGCAGCAGATGGCACCAAAACACCAAAAAAAAAAAAAAAAAAAAAAAAAAATCTCAATCCAGATCAATGATGACGAGATGCCGTTGCCGTTTCATGAAAGAAACAGCAAAGGGATGCAGAAAAGAGATGTTGGGGAAGGCGTCTGACCTAGGGCATACTCAGAATAGTGCTGTCCAGAATGTACTTGACCACAATCACGGCCAAAATCGTTGTCTTACCCAAGAGCCTAGCTCAGTGGGTACAGCCCAGAACTGCTGAAATACAGACCTGCGTTCGAATCCAGATGATGGAACTTGACGAGTAAAAAAACCAACTACTAATGAATTGCGTGGGGCCCGGTCAGCTCAATGATAATATCTCAAGGACGTCGTCCTTTAAAAAAAAAAAAAAAAAAAAAATCGTTGTCCTCTCCCTTCCCCCCCCCCCGCCCCGGCCTTCTCTCTTTTAGTGCCCTGCCAGCAAGGCAGACGTTTTCCACGTTCTCAGGAAAGCCCCTCGCTGAGGGCACTCTCTCACTGCTACTTTCCAGAATGTATCCGACCGCTATCACGTCCATATACAGCTGCCCGGTAAACCTAGGTAGAGAGGGAGGGGGAGAAGAGGGACAACAAAAGAGGGGCTGTGAGAAACTGTTTCGTCGGAGTTTTTCACTGACGCATATATTTATAATTTAATATTCCATTTTTGATGCAATTTGTCCAATAGTTAAATATCGTGCTTCTACGGTTTGACATCTAATCACAAAAAAATTGAAAAAAAAAAAAAAAAAAGGGAGAAAGAGAAATGGTTGGCAATAGGACATCCAATGCAGCGGCTTGTGGAGCCTAAAAGCAAAGAATTGTCCTTTCGGGACATTCATCGAAATTGGTACGATACGGAGAACTGAGAGAAGGTTAGCATGGCTGCTGCTCATTAAAAAAAAAAGAAGAAGAAGAAGAAGAAGCAAAGAATCTGCCACAAGTAACCGAAAACGTTTTATTTTATTATTATTTTATTATATTTTCGGCTAATTTTCCAAACAAACGTTTTATAACTATGGGTCTAGAAGTTGAACTTCGCAGTAGTTTGTACATATTTTTCTAGGTTATTTTTAATATTTTATTGTTTTTTTTTTTTAAATGTACTAGCTTGTTCTGTCTGGATTAGGTGTGATGAGGGATCGCGACTTGGGATAGCCCTGGCTGTCGGTCGCAACAGCCCGGACCACCACACCAAAAGAAAGGCGGACTGAGAGGACTGCACACCATACTTGGGATGCACCACTTGCGCGAGAGTTGTGCACACACATGCATGCGCGAGCACGTGATGCAGCGCAGCCCGTTAAATAGGGGTCAATACAAAAATATTCAGGAGGGGCAGAGTGTGATGGTCAACCCCAC